CGTTGTGTGTTTGTGTGTCTCAGGGTTGTGTAGTTTCCTGACGTTGTGTGTTTGTGTGTCTCAGGGTTGTGTAGTTTCCTGACGTTGTGTGTTGTTTGTCTCATGGTTGTACAATTTCCTGACGTTGTGTGTTTGTGTGTCTCAGGGTTGTGTAATTACCTGACGTTGTGTGTTGTGTGTCTCAGGGTTGTGTAGTTTCCTGACGTTTTGTGTTGTGTGTCTCAGGGTTGTGTAATTACCTGACGTTGTGTGTTGTGTGTCTCATGACGTTGTGTGTCTGTGTGTGTCAGTGTGACAGGTGGAGAGCTGTTTGAAGACATCGTAGCGAGAGAATATTACAGTGAAGCTGATGCCAGGTAAGAGACGCACTCCTCAGACTTCTTCTGCTTCTGTGCTGAATCCCCTGCTGACCTCTGACCTCTGACCTCTTTCTGAACAGTCACTGTATCCAGCAGATTTTGGAGGCGGTGCTACATTGTCATCAGATGGGCGTGGTCCACAGAGACCTAAAGGTACCCGACACGTCAGGGGGACATAATCTCTGACCGCAGTTCTGTGCAGCGACATGATTGGCCGCTGGGGCCAGTGGGGGAGGGACATCTTTACTGCCACAGTACTGTCGGGGATCCTATTGGCTGTCTGACCGCCGAGCTCTGTTAATAACCTGCTCATAACCAGCAGCAGGAAAATCGATTATTTGAACGAGGTCTGGCTTGTTAAGCCTGAATTATAGCATGTGTGATGATTTAACAGCCGCCCACACAGTGTTTACATGACAAACAACACACCAGCGTTACACACAACAGTCATCAGCTGCTCATCAAAACATGAACAGCTGATTACAGCAGACGGGTGAATTGAGCCCAGAGCTGCTGGTCTCTGATTAAAGACGGGAAGAAACCAATGAAACCAACTCGCGTACTTGTCAATTCTCAAGTACGCGAGTCCGTGCTCGTGTACGCGGCGAGTGCGGACTTGCCGAGAACGCGAGCACGGACTCGCGATTTGCACAATTGGAACACCAGCGTACTTGATGATGTCACAGGTCCGGAGTTTTTACTGCCGTCGCCTCTTAATTTAACTGATATTAATATGTTATGAAGCTTTAATCACAGCCAAACCGGTTTACTCAGGAACAAATAAAACACTGAAATAAACC